ATTATCAGTAATTTTTTAAAATTAATTTCCTTTAAATATAAAAACGCATTGATAATCTTTTAATCATTTAATTCGTTTTAAATAAACATTTGTTTTGCCTGCAATATAAATGATTTTTCGATTCTATGTTTGATCTATACATATTGATAACACATATGTAATTCTATTCATTAGTGCATCTGCTATATTCTATGCTATTCTATTATCATTTTTATATTTTAGATATATATTTTATTAAATTGAAAAATAATTTAAAATGTAAATATATTGTATTATCTGTCCTATACTCTTAATTCCATACTTTACATTCAAAATGTGCTCATATATCATTTATTAATATAATCTACTATTAGGCCTACCTTTAGATTAGTTACATATTACTATTAAAGGCACATTGACATCTAACTAATTAATCTCAGCGGCCGCCTTAAATATCTTTTAATTATTTCAATAATTATCCCCATAGTATCTATTTAGATTTAGATTTGGATTTGAAGTCTCTTCTGGCTAATGCTTTATTTAGCTTAAAACTTGTTTTTTCTTTGGTTTCGCATTTTTGTGCACAGCTTTAATATAAATAAATTTAGTGTGTTAAGAAAATGTATTATCCGCAGTGCACGAGTCGTACGCATTTATGGAAGAAAGTCTGATAACGTTATATACACAACTATTAGTGTTAATTTGCTTCTTCATTGAGTTCGCCTGGTTCACGTCAACGTTTCGATACCCTCTCGAAATGTTAGCCAGGCCGAGCCCCTCGTCTGTCCTCGGCTTGCTCCATTTTTCGCTTTAGTTTAGCCCACAAATTTGCAGCTACACATGTTTGACGTGCACGAGTGTGTGTGTGTGTGTGAGTGTGAGTGTGAGTGAGTGTGCTGGGAAAGTTGTGGGAAGCGCGTAATAAATACGGCGGCAGGCCCCAGTACGAGATTATATCATGGCATGCATAGGTCTAACTGTCTGGCTCGTTGCCGCAGATAGAACTCCGGCCCCTACCTCTGCCACTGCCCGCACTCTGGCCGCTCCCTGCTCCGCCTCACTCCGCTGTCCGCCATATCCCTCGCCTTATTGACGACGCGCAAAGTTTGCCAACTAAACAAGTTTTGTGCCTCAAATGAAATTTAGGTTGCAACTGAAGCCCAACAAAAGCCAAACAAAACAAAGCAGCAGCTATAACTACAACAACAACAACGACAGCAACRAAAACGGCGCCAAGCGCAGAAAAAAAATTAGAACTTTTGCGCTGAAGGAAAGTGAATTTTATTTGTTCAACTTTATTACGTATACGTGCCGTTGTTCCGCCTGTGTAAATAACCAAAATGCAAAACGTAGCACCCGCCCCCCGATCCCCGTCCATCGACTCATATACATCGTCTCTCACACGCCCCTCCATGCCTCCACTCGCCTGTGATCTTTCTAATGAAGACAGCGCCGGCAGGTGCTGCTCGCACTTTTATGTTCATGCATTGCGGCCTGTTTAACGACTTGGGCAATGCCTAGCATGAGGAATTTATAAAAGGAAAACAAGTTGAGACAAGAATGAGAAGAGATGAGAGCGCACACACACATATGCGCACATGCACGCAAAACTCTCATATGCCTAAGCTAACAGACCGTAAATATTGTTGAAAATAGCAGTTTATTTTTGGGTCTCGCTGCTCCATTCACATCATTCAATAGCGCAGGACAACAAAGGACATCCCGGACCGCTGATGGATGTAAACAGCAGCCAAACAGCCACAAAGCAGGCAAACAGCTGACTCCAGGTGCAAGCAGGAGCTGGGCTAAACAGTTAAAGCCTTTCCCCTTTATTTCTTTTTGGCCGTACGTCAAAGCGGCCGCAAGTTAAATAAGAAGCAAACGAGCGAGCAATTTGCCACTGACTGAAGCTGACTGTCAAATACACTATATTATATGGAATTATCATAGATATGAATGGACATGAATTTGGGTCTCTCTCTCTCTCTCTCTCTCTCTCTCTCTCTCTCTCTCTCTCTCTCTTTCGGTTTAATGAGCTTCGTTGCTTAATATAGAAATGATTTTTATGCCTTTTTATTATTAACATGACAAACATTTCTACATCATAAATTTGAATACATTTGTAATCTTATATTTTTTATGGCTATTTGAGTTTTAATCTGTGCTAAAGCTTGTTTATTTATGAATATATTACTGCGAAAGGGAAATCATAGAGAGGGACAGAGAGAGAGAGAGAGGGGGTGTGGGTAGAGAAAAAAGGTTAAGTATACGTATTTTTAAGGTCTACTCGCTTGAGGCTCTTAGCTAACTAATATGCCCACAAAATTCAATTCCTTTGGCATTATTGTTCATGTCTTTCCATACATTACGGGCATGCACATACACATGCATAACAGCCGGCACACACGCACACTCATAAACAGAGGCTCGACAAAGAGTTGCCACACACAAGCTCACATGGGAGCGTGCGTGTGTGTGTGTGTGTGTGTGTTGTCCCTTTAGCGTCTTCAGCATTTAATGGCCTCATTAATTTTCTATGCTTGGCCTTAAATTATTTTACTAGACAGAGAGTAGCTGCCTGCTGCTCAGCAATTCCATTAACTTGACTGCCACTCAGGCAGACGGCCCCTTCCCCGCCCCCCATCGCTGGGTAGCTATCGCGCACGGCAATAGCAATGCTAAATGTCTCTTTGCTCGTTCGCATTAATTTACATAAACTTAATTGTTTTATTTAATCAATAAAAATAATTAAATGCCATGTGCGTAAGTAATTAAAACAAATCGCTTTTACAGCACAGCAAATTGAAATTGCATAAACATAAAGCTCGGTGGCAGCTAAACGAGTGCCGTTGCATGCAACAAGCATATGGCAACGGCATCGGCAACGGGAATGGCAAACGCCCATCCTGGCCCCAGCTCTATGTACCTTTGTAATTATGGCACATCAAACATTAATCAGCAGGCAAATGCGTATGCAAAATACAAAACACATATGCATAAAATCAGCGGCCAAATGATAATTTCGTTCCCAGTCACGCCGAATGCCAACAGCAACAACAGCAACACGAGCAACACGGGCAACGGCAACTGCATCAATAATAAACAATATTTGGGGCAGCCCACAAAATCTATAGAGACCAAATTACTTTGTAGGCTTAGTCGGACGGCGAGTCGGTGGCTAAAAATTTTCAATTTTTCAGCATAATTTATGGCGCACAAAGCGTAAAAACCAAAAACCCAGCAAATCACTACGAGAAATTATGCAAAAATATTTTTCGACGGCGGTCAGCCAAAATCTAGCTGGGTATCTGTGTCTGTATTCGTCCCAATATAAACAGAGACACACCCATGCATACATATAAATGCAGTAGGTAAAGCAATTTAAAACCCCTTTCCACACACACACACACACACACACACACGTATAGGCATTTGCAGATACAAATTAAACTAATGCCACAGATAGATACATTTATATTGATCAGTAATTTAATGTAAATTATATTGTCTATTGCGTGGCTCTGCCCTTCTGCGTTCGCATTTGTTATTGTATATGTTTTTGTATCTGTGTGTGCATGTGCGTGTGCGTGTGTGGGCACATTATGCAAATCAGTATCTGTAAAACTGTATCTGTTGCTTTTTATAGGCATTTGTTTTATTGCCATTTCATATGAAAAGCAACAGCAACAGAAACGGCAACAAAAACAAAGATTTCAAAAAACGCCCTCAAAAGTATGCTACAAAAATAACTGAATCACTCGCATCAACATTTCCATCAATGTAGTAAGTAGGTACTTTTGGCATTTATATATTTCGTATCTGATAGCTGTACAAAAGCAAAAGAAACAAATAAATATATATTTCAAATTCCTTTTAACACTTTTTTAATCTACCCGTATATATCTAACAGCTCAAATGGAATTCAAAGCATAGTCATAATAAAATAAAACATTACGTTTTAATTCAACAAAATTATTTACAGAAATTTTTAGGAAAAAACTGAAAGTGAAAAGTGAAATTTCACATTTTTTAAATAATTTTCGCAATAAAAATGTATTCCATGTATCTATAATAATTGGAAATAAAATACATTTAACAAAATTTCTTTATTTCAATTCATTTCCTCTTTATTTTTTTATATTATTTCATATTTCATACCGTAAAAAAAATGCTTTTTAAATATATCAATAGAGAAATTTAAGCATTTTTGCATTTCATATTACCTAGAAAAAATTTATGAACAAACATTTTTATTAAACAAAATTGACGTCTTCATTAATCAAACTTTTATACACATATGAATGTTACTTCTGATTCATAAAGCTGATTACTAAAAATAAAATCATTTTCATTTTCATAAGCTTGCAATAAATATACCCAAAAATACAACAAAGCCTCCGCTCAGCTCACGCAAATCTTTAAGCTACATTGAACGTTTCATTTGATTGATTTTATTTTGTGCTTTTAATAATTTGGCTAAGAAGTAAAAGATACCAAATTAATTCAATAAAATATCAGAATGCCAATGTGGGCGGCTGCGTTTGGCTTTAATGTCGGCCTGGCAGAGGTTGGCTTTAGCCCAAAAAGTGCGCTACGGCAGCATTCGCATAGCTACTGGGAAGGAACAAGTATACGCAACGTAAGCCCGGCAAAAAACCTTCAGATAGCTAAAGACGATGGCAGTCTCAGGCACTTGAGGATCTCAGCGCATTCGATGTGAGCTTAGCTCATTAAAAATTCAATACAAAGTACATTGCGAATGCGATGTTGTTGTTTTTGTTGCTGCTCCTCCTGCTGCTGTTGTTGTTGTTGTTGTTATTGTTGTTGTTATTGCTTTGCTTAGTCCACAATGCGTAACGTGGCACGCCTCTGCGACGATTACATTTCCATGCAAATCAAATTGGAAGCCAGCACAAAAAGACATTGTTCGATAGGGGCGAAAGAAAGCCTTGACAGATAAGCCAAGATAAAGATACACAAAATTATAAAAACAATTTGCAGTCATTTGGATAGCGGCCACCCCAGCCCAAGCCCAAGCCCAAGCCCCAGTCCCAGCCGTGGCCCAAACCCTAACCCAAACCAAAAGCTAACAAACAACATAATAAAGATATACGCCAAAAGATATTCGAGCAGTTGGCATGTTGTTCCAATATGGATAATTAGACGCGTGCCTCTGTCAGCTGGCGTCGCATTTTCAATTGATGTGATTCGATATGATACGCTACGATGTGACTATACCCTGCAGCAATGCGGCAGGCGTTTAGCTGGATATGCTAGAGGCAGATGAGGGAATGATAGCGGAATCTGAATCTGTCTCCTGTGAAAACATAGATTATTGAAATATTAGGTCATGCCAGACGATCTTTAATCTATAATACCAAAAGGCATCATGTATCATCTCACCACACAGCTAACTATAAGGAATACATATCGTCATATCTACATAAGAAGACATGTCAAAGTATATCTGTCTTTCTCTCTCATATATTATCTCAGTACATATCTGACTATAGACAATACACATCTTCATATCAACATATGTTAATATTTCTAAGTGTTTTACTCTCTCTCTGTCCCCCTCTATCTCTCTCTCGTTTTCCTTCTCTTTCCTCCTCAATAGGGGACCTTGACCTTGTTTATTCATCACTCTCGCAGAATATATTCCAGTTCACGCTTCAATTTCTACTCAACAGGGTATCTGCCAGTCGTGCACTTTCATTCAATCACTCTCTTTTTGTTTTTCTTGTTTGCCATTTATATATTCATTAAGTTCAACGCCCGTCTTGTCAAAGCTATTAAATAATAACAGCCCTGCGCTTTCGTTGCCTGTTGTTCCCTTTCCACACCTGTGTCGCTCACCTATGAGCTGAGTGAGGCAGGTAGAGGCCCTCTCGCTGGTGCGTGTCTGATTCGAGCTACGTGCATAAATTTATGACGTATCGATTGTTATTAATTTCAACGCCAGCCGCAACTATTTAGTCAATTTGTCAAAAAGCTCAGCACTCTTAGCCCACACACTTATCCAGTAATATTCAGGCAGTCAGGCAGTCAGGCAGGCAGAGGTTAATAATCTATTTGTGCAATGCACAACTTTCACTTGCCGGCTATCATCTGTCACACCTCATCAACAGGGCGCGGTGCGTGCAGCTACGTGATTGCCACCCAATCTGCCGCAATTGCTCGCTGGCAATATTGTCAATAATTATCTTCATATATCACGAAAAATTGTAGACAAATGTGCGCCAGCTCGAATATACATACACACATATACTTGTTGGCACACACACACAGTGAAGTGTGTATATGTGTGCATTGCATACACATATTTCGTGCTTTAATTGAAATTAATGTGTGTCTGGCCGATAAGTAAGATCTGACCGAAATGAGAGTTTGTCAAATGTGAACAATCAAGCATTCGTTAAAATCTGCTGAAGCTCCATCCATTAGCTGCTAAAGTAGTCAACAGGAAATAGACATTAGCCATGGTTTTTTGTCTTTGAACACAATTTGAAACTTTGCTGAGTTGAGATGAGCTTTTTGAAAATTGAACAAAGACTCTCAATTGAGTTCCAGGAAAAATATAATAAGCTCAAGGCTTAGGAATGGCCAGTCGGCAGCTGTTGGCATTCAGCTGGAGTCAATCTATCAGTCAGTCGCTGCGCTAGACATTTTGGAAGTTAATTAGCAACTAAATGAAGCTCTCTGTCGGCCAATCTGTCAGTGAGTCAATCCATAATTATATATTATATCTTGCTTCACTCTAGGTAGTCCTAGATTATTTAAGTTTATAGCCATTTTTTTATTATTTAATCTATATTCAATTGTATCAGTCTATTATTTAGCCAGTAAGCTAGTCAATTATTGGGTTAATTAACAAGCCAATCGAATCTCATTGTCGAATCAGTTCCTCCCACCGTCAATCAATGAATATACATGTTTACATGTAAACCCACATTTAGTTATATATTTTTATTTATTATTTAATATTTTTGTACATTTAGTCAAATTTAAAGCAAATAKTATGCATAGTAAATAATTTCCTTATCCAAGTCTGAATACCTATCTATAAATCACATTAATTATTCTCATGCTAATCCCACAAGCCACAATGTCAATGACAATTAAATTATATAAACAATAAACTTGTTTTGAGATAGGCAGTGGACAAATTTAACATAAATAAGCTGATTTAAGTCTTATTATTATTGTTAAATTATCTGTTTATTATTTCACAAATGACAGACACACATACATCCATGCAAAATACTCTTTAAGAGTTTTATTGCGAATAAATTGCGCATACGCCGGGTAGGACACACGACAGCTGCCATAGCGCCAGCGCCATTCACATAAATGTGTGTCGACTATTTAAAGCTGTCCCAGGACAATTTCTCAAGTGAAAGTTTCGCTCATGGAAGCAGATTCTTGATTAACCTGGCAATGGCATAGATCATAAGGTGAACACCTTCACTGTCCGCTCTAACCTTTTAAAGTACTGCGCTGATTTGCTGCCATTCGTATTGGTAGACCCTGCCCCTGCCCCTTTTCCATTCATCATTATTAAGACCTTTAATTTATGGGCGCCGCAGTCGTTGTCGTTTTTTATGGTGTGTGTTTTACACGGACCATAACATTGCGCCCATATATAGTACACACTCTCTCTCGCTCATATGTTGAGTGTGTGGCAGCTGCTGTTGCTGCTGCCGAGTTCAAAGTACTCTCACAGGTAACTCTCGGCTCTGCCATGTGCACACATAAAATCGATAAATCTTAAAAATTCAATAACAGCCGCCACACGCGAGCTGGCCCAGCCGGTAAGCCAGCCCTCAAGCCATCCCTTAAGAGCAAAGCAGAACGGGGCAGTGCACAGAGAGAGCGAGAGAGAGAGAGAGTCTATGGATTTGGGTGCCATTATACTCATGTTCATGTCGAAATCAAAGGCGAGGGTCAATGGCAAATTGGATTGCGTCGACTCTTCAGTTCCCTTCAGCATTTGTTGTTGTATTTGTATTTTGTGAAAATTAAAGATTTATCAGCCCTAATCAGGCGCACGGCCGTTTCAGTTTCTAGGCAGCACTTGAATCAGTTGCGCTTGGCAAAACTTTTAATTGGCGGCTTTAAGGCATTATGTGTGTATATGTATATCAGACATAGCTGTATACACAACGACCGCCAACCCCTGAAGCCATTACATACATACAGAGTGAAATAAAGACACCACCCACTGGCTGACACACCTACACTTGAAGTAAGCCTTCATCAATGCAAGTGGAGCGTCTCAGCGAGCGTCGCTTCAACTATGTAGAACGGCAAACTTTTACTTTCATGTTGAGCCAAGTTGAAAATTAAAGTGAATTTCATTATTGGCCTGGCCTCCTTCGGCTTTAACAAGTTGTGCGGCCACGGCAACGGCAACGGCAAC